AAATGTGTATCAGTTGTTGAACAGTTGCTTATTGAATTGTGCGGCATATGTTTTAATTTGTGTTTTTTTTTTGATCCATCTTCGAAACGTTATTATTGGGAATCGTCGTTTGTAAAGGCCTTAATGTCTTTTGTATCAGCAAGTGCCGCGGTAGTTCCTGCTTCGTGCATTTGTACAGACACACACACACACACTTATACACAATATGCACATGTTCGTGGTAAGCGCCGTTTCAGCCTCGTCATCGGATCCCTATTAATCTCGAAAGTTTTAATTAGCGCCCAATAGACCAGTCTTTCTCTTCTCTTCTCTCTTCTATCTCATCGAACACACAACAACACACACCGGAATAATACAAAATAATAGATGCTCGGCACGTGAGCGCGCGCCTCACACACACACACACACACGTTTCAGTTCAAAAAGGAATCATAAATATTATAAAATATTTTGTAAATATTTCAGTCTTGACAATTAAAGTTTTGAGGATGATAGTGAAGTGAAGATGGACAACAACAGTAAAGTGCCAAACAGCTTCTTGCCCCCCTTTTTATGTTTTTAGTGTCTTCATTTTTATTTATTTTGTTTTTGTTGTTTAACGTTTATTATTCGAAATTTGGGGCTCTTTTTATGCGGCCCGGCCAATCAAAATAAGGGGAACACGACACTAAAATAGATTTACGACCGCCGTCCGATATTTATGAATATTGGATTATTACACACGGCGAGAAAAGCGAACCGAGAAGATATTGGTAGAAGACGAAGAGGAAGAAGTACGCGCTTTAAGTGCGCAATAAAAATTATTCCGAAAATTGATCATTAAGTGCCCTGAACGCTGCATAATAATAATAAAGCAAAGAAATGAATTCCAAGTGGAAATAAAGAAAGAAAGTTTAAAAGCTTATAATAATAATAAGACAATGGTTATGATTGCATTTGTTCATCTTTTTTTGCGCGAATTTTCGGGTGGTTTTTTTTACGAGCCAATATTTCATGGTTCCCACATCCACATCAACTCTTCGAATTCTCTTTTGCAAATGGAATGCTTTTGAAATTATATTGCATTCCAATTGTAATTGCAAATCGTAATTTTCGTTTCAACAAATTACAGAATCTGCATTATTCATCGAACTGTTTAGAGTAAAAAAATGTAATTGATTCTTCGGAACGGAAGATGAAATAAGAAGTTCGATGCAATGCATGACAGCGCTACGGTGCTCGATTTCCTTTGCTTACGTATTCGGAATTGATTAAGTCGGATGCGTTTAAAGTTGTCCGAGGCGAGGCAAGACGAGGCGTTCTAATTGAAATTGAAATTAATTTTGATTGATTAGAGCGCGAAATAATTTAGCGTACTATCTCCTACTAAGTGGACAAGGAGGAATGAGTAGTAGTGGTAGTAGTAGTAGCAGTAATCAAAGGATGAGTAAACATTGCGAGTGGTAGCGATTTCGCACGCATCAGCAAACGGACGAGATGCAAAGAGTTACAGGTTGATGTCTATTTAAGGTGGCGTTCTCTTTCTTTGTTGTTGAAGAAGTAGAAGATGAAGAAGAAGAAGAAAGGGTAGAGAGGAGGATCATGGTAAAGTGGTAAAAATGGGAGTAGTAAGTTTACGGCGTGTATAATTTAAAGTAAGTAGTTTTATAGATAGAATCGGCGTAGGCTGATGTTCAAGAGTTTAATAATTCAGTTGAACAGGGTAAAAGACGATATGCATTAGCGCTATTATAAATTTGCTAACAAAAGGAGGTAGGTGGAAATATGCAATGCACTGACTCGTTTATAGACCGAGAGAGAGAGACAGAGAGAGAAAGACCTGCATGGAAAAGAGAAAACTAAAAAGAACGATCCTTCTTCCTCTCTCTCTCCGTCTTTCGCACACACAAGATCGAGTCTCGAGTCTCTTAGCTTTAGCTGCAGGTCGCAATTGCTGCTGCTGTTGCTGTTACTGCTGCTCTCTTTAGTCGGCGCCAGTTCAACCGACTCGCATTTTTCTCCACAGACCTAAAATGATTTATTGCTGTATCATATATACCTCCATGCACACTACACACTCATTCTCGTTACTCTCTCTCTCTCTCTCTCGCTCTATCTCTATTTATTTCTTACTACTCCTTCGCTCCAAAACCATTTCTTTAATCACCAATTCCACATAACCGACCATTTACGAGAACCACAACCATCCATCCATCCATCCATCCAACTCACTCAAACACACCTTCATTATCTAATTTCCCCTCGCTCGCTCGCTCGCTCGCTTGCCTGCTCGTAACCGCTTATCATCAATTACACTCATTTGTACCTCATTTCAATTCATTTTACAAAACCATAAAAATAACACCTAACAGAAACGAGAAACGTAATTCCTCAATCATCTTCATCATTATCATCGAAACCATAAAATAAACTTTTTTTCGTTGGTAATTTAAATACACGCGCAGCTTAATCATCTAAACTAGTAAACTAGTAACTGTAAAATAAATAATGTTGCAATTAAATAAAATGTTCTATATATAAACTATAGAATTTAAATGGTAAAATGATCAAGATATAGAGAACAATTCAAGACATTTTGGACAAGTCTTCGGATGTTCAAGTGTAGATATTGCACAAAGCAATGCAGTAAATTTTGCATGCGAGATCTAACAATTGCATACGGAGAGAGAGAGAGAGAGAAGAGGTCTAAACGCGAAACGCGAGATAGTTTAGTGCAGATTGGCGGTGTTAATTGTATGCATTGAAAGATGGTGTCGCTGATGATGATGATGAGAACAACAAGGATGGCAGTCGCAGCAAGGTAATTAGTTTAGGTAATAGGAAATAGAACCAATTACCTGCACGCTGTTTAATTGGCATCCAAAACGTACAAACATGTGTACACAGAGATATGGAAATACGAATGCATGCATGAACACTTTTGCTCTCGTTGCCTAACCAATATCGTCGCAGTCGTCGTATACTTTTCTATTCTCCGCGACTGCTGGAAAACGAAATATAATTGCGATTTATCGTTTTTATTTTTGTGTCCAGTCTGAGTGTGTGTGTGCGAGCAGATTGTGGTCGGGCGTTATAAAAAATCGTTATCGCATTACCGGCTTGATTAATGGTGTATTGATTGGACTTGGAAAATTATTCACGACCCAAAGACTTTGTCTATGTGTATGCATACATATACGTATATATGTGTGTGTGTGTGTGTGTGTTGGTTCGCGCTTAGAAGTTTCGCCGTCGCCGTCTCATTATAATTACTCATTGCACTTGCCGATCGCAAATCTATTCGACTTATAACACTTCTCGTAGTACACTGCACGTACTCGCCCAAGGCGAAACGGTCGTTTGCGAAATGCCTCATTTTTCAATCGAAAAAGAAAGAAAAGAAAATTGAACAAACACAAAACTTGCTCTTTCTTCTGGTAAAATAAATATGCGTATCATATTTGGAAATATTACCTTTTGCAAATGCGAATGTACAGCGTACACGATGCTTTGTGTGCAAAGCGGGAATAATTTTACTTTTAAAAGTTCAATGAAGAAAATTGAAATTTGAACATTGCAAGAAGTTTCCTATAATAGAAATAAAAGTGTAATGCTTGTTAATAAATTGTTATTGGTAATGAGAATGCGATGACGTTGTATGAACTATGAAAGATATTTAAAGATTCGCATTAGAAATGTTGCACGAAGAAGAAGAAGACACCTATCCTATCCGCTTTGTTCTCCACCGATGGGAGGCCGTAAATATATGTGTGTGCTGTGCACTATTGTCTAGCCGTGTGGTAACGAGGAGAAAACGTACAATATGTATGCACACTCGTCTATTTATAATTTCGACTTGCTCGTTTTAGCGCGGGCGTAAATTGCCTTTTTCAACAGAGAACAACCGACGACTAAAAATAATAAGGAAGGAAGGAAATTAAGAGAAGATAGAGAAAATAACCGCAACCACATGTATTATTCCAAGAACAGTTTACAAACAAATAAACTAGAGATATATTTAAATTTCCAATCAACATTTATTATATATAATATACTTTGTACTATTTCGACTAGTTTTATTTAGAAAATAGAAGATTGCGTAAGTTAAAATATTAATATAATATGGATAGAAAAGTGTTTCGTTTGTAATTAATTATGGTTTGACTCAATCAATTACCACCGATTGATATACGTAAGAGCGGAGATATTGACCGGTCCAAAAGCAACAATGTGAGGTGTAATTATCTGTCCGGTGGTTGATTGGGAAACTTTACGCTTTGAGATTGGTTTTTATTTAATTATCGAAATCCGCGTACGTTTACGTGATTTATTATGAGTAGAGAAGTTAAGGAGTGAGATAAAACGGAATGCTGGAAGGAAGGGAAGGTAAGGAAAAACCGTAAACAGAAAGCGGATAGATAGATCCAATTTGTAGATTAATTTCGTTCGAAATTCCTCGCGTGGGTGCGGATTTTCGGCACCAAATACACACACACACACATATATATAACACGTTTGCTCGGTTCGGTTTCTGTTTCATCATCATTAAGAGACGCGCGTTAACGCGTCGAGATTTGTGTCTTTGCAGGATGGATGAATCGACGAATATATAATACATTTCGAATGGGTTGGATGCTTATCTGCATTGTTCTTGCTTCGTACCGTTTCGTGAGACGTTTATCGATATGATTAATGATGACCTCCACTTTTCGCCGACGAAATTCTGGAATCCAACTCAGTCTCTCTTTACCTTAATTAATAATTTCCTAATACCAATTAATTAAAAGGTAAAAAGTTAAAGATGACCACCATCACCACCAACAGATATGGTCCAATGAGTTGCCTCTGACCGCGCCACTACCGCCTGCTGCGATATTTATAGTTCTTCCACTGTTTGTGCGTTACGTATAAAAATAGGTGGATTTTAAATTTACGATTTAATTTCGAAAGGAGAAGAAAAAAAAAGACTATTTCTTTTTTATAATTACATTATATTCATTTCACTTCAAACTGAATCCATTACAAAATTTAAAAAAAGAAGAAGTAAAAAACACAGGACTCTTTCGTTTTGCATAAAGACAAATATGATTAATTGTAATTAAGTGTAATTCAATTTATATGCGTGCCGCCTCGTATTTGTATTTACTAATAAATAAATAATATATTTTATTTACAAAATAATGATCAACAAGTACTAAGGAAATTTTCTATTAATAAACCTTCTCGATTGAAAGATTTAAATCGTTCGTACAACAATATATATCCCCTGTTAATAACCGGCAATTATTCAAATTTCCGACAATAATTATATTGCTTCAGTTATCTGATCTGATTTATTTTTTAATCTGCATATCGTAGTGCAATAAATTATTGTCACTATTTCCATATTTCATACACTTTGCTGCGGATGTTGCGTCCTCGTAAGTCACGAATCCGATCATGTTTCCTTGTCTCGAAATCGATAATTTCGTTTGTAAGATGTTCCCGAACGCTCCGTACCTCTCCAGGATCGACGATTCCGTCTCCTCCGAATGCAAACAGAAGATCTGCACCGTTTTTAAATTCTCTTCTATCTTCGCTTTTCTGCTCCTGGTAACTCTATGCGTATTTTCAAAAGTATTGCTGACTTCCTTCAGCGTTCGCTTTTCCTCAACAGCTTTCTTCCTCGCATAAATCCTCTCCGATTGTCTGCTACGTTTCACGTCCGTTTCAACATCACTTTTATTTTCTCCAATTACCGTTTCTTTGGGCTTCATAGCGCGCTTCTTTCCTTTCGGGCAACTCGTTTTAGAACGCTTAGAAATTTCGTCTTTTGATGAATCACGTTGCAGAAGTAATTCGTGATCCTCGCTATCATAACAATTACTATTATTGTCTTTGCAAGAACCATTTTTCTGCTGATAAGAAGGTGTACCTTCTCGCAAAATCTTCTGCTCGAACTCTTCGAACAATTTTAAACCCCACACTCTGCCGTTTCCTCTTTTGTCATCTTCCTCCTTAACAACTTTATCTTTCGTTTTCCGCATTTTCGGATTAACCAATTTATTTTCTTTGTCCGAATCATCGTCGCGTTTTCTCACGATTTTCTTCGTTTTCGTACAATCGCAGCTACATTCGCGCGAATCGTTAAATTCTCTGAATGTATTTATAATTTCTCCTTCGTCAATGTCGCTTCCTGCACAGCTTCTGAAATAATTGCTAGAAACAGGATCAAGATCATCGAACTGTAAGTCTTCATCTGACAAAATTTCCCACGTGGTTGCTTCCCCACTGCACTGCTCAAATTTGAAAGTCTATTATTGACTGAGAAAAAATAAATGTATACAATGATATTAAACCAGCACTTACGATTCGTGTATCCGGTATTTCCGAATCTTCGGACGAAAATATCTTTTCGAACGTCTCGTCCTCCAAATCGCGCATATTGATGATTCCCTCGTCCTCGTCGGCGTCCTCTTTGCTCCACCAATCAATGTCCTCCACTTTCCGCTCGGATCCATGCGAATTTCCGATCAGTTCAATCTCCTCAAAGAAACTTTCGATACAGTGCAACTCCATATTTTGATTATCCTCCGCGTCGCAGCTCTTATCACTCAATGCAAATATCTTCGATGACAAATGCTTTAAATATATTTTTTACTCAGTTCGGCACGTTTACCTGCGCATCGTACCTCAATAAAATTTAATTGCTTTTTATGCCCTCCGAGAGAGATTTATAATATTATAAACTATTATAAACAAAAAATCTATAATAATTATGTACTTGAAGGAATGCTTGTTAAAAAATAAAATCCATATTTCAATGAATTAATATCAATTTATTACAAAAAATAATCGAGTATTGAACGAAACATTTTATTTATTCTACACACTACAAGAAAAATATGAATGAGCGTTTATTTTCGATTGTGAGTAATATTAATCGAACGGCCGCAATTATAATATTGTGTGGGAAAATCGCATTAATGAATGATTGCCGTGTACGAGAAACGCATAGGAGGAAACAGGTGAATGATATTTATGTCGCGTTTTATTTTTTTTTTATATATTTCGACCATGGAATCACGTTACAAACACGGTGTATTTCTCTTTATTGGAGGAAGTGCAACGTAATTGTCATCAGCGGGGGGAGGGTTATGAAGGGACAGGTGAACACCGCAATCCTGGAATTACAAACATGCAAACACAAACAGAGAAACACCATGTAATTATACATCAGAAGGAAAAAAAAACAACAAAAACAAATTGTCTCCGTTTTCTAAGTAATCAGTAAGATTTCGAAGAATATAAAGTTGGAGTTGGATTAGCCAATTATGCCAAAATGGAAATGAAGAGGAGAATTACCGATTCTCATGGCTATAAAGAAGAAGCGCGCGTTACGGTGCGACGAAGATGGAGGGAAGCCCTCTCTTGATTGGGTTTTGCGAAATAATTTATACGGCGGTAGGAAGTGAGCGCGCTTAATATTTATTGGTCAAATTAAAATGGGAATTGATGGACGCCGCGTGCGTAGGAATGTACACAATTAATAATTGACTGTGTAGACTTTAAAGCAGCAGAAGCAGCAAAACGAAACTCTTACCAGATATTATTACCACCACCACCACCACCACCACTAGATACTAATAGATATAGTAGAGTGGATGATGCAAAGGAAGGAAGATGGACGGCTTCCTCATACCTCATCTGTATACAACAATGTTAGCAACATTTTAACCTGCGCTGGCCGATGGGATTGGCGACTCTGACCCAACCCGATTTTCCTCTCTCCGTCGTCTTCCATTGATGAAACAACGTTACTTGTGTGTCTGTCTGTATGTCTGTGTGAATGCATCTTTTCAACTTGTACGACTTATTTTCATTCTTCTCTCGGTGGATATTCAAAGACGTGGCGAGGAATAAGGATAAATTCGCGAGTCGAAATATCACAACAATAATAATAATAACGATGGTGGCAATCAGCGTTGGCGTGCACTTTGAGTATAATATTCTCTCTCTCTCTCTCTCTCTCTGAGTCAAACCTCATTCACTTCGAGTCTTTATGTTGAAGCGAAACGAACGTTTGCTTAGATCTTTGACAAATGATTCTCGAATCCATGCAAATATCACGTTTCCCCGGCGACCGTTTCGCTAATTAAAGTCGAAGTTCGCTATTCGCTTAATCTGCTTCCAATCTATAATTGAGTCTCTCTCTCTCTCTCTCTCTCTCTGTCTCTCTCGGATTTATCAGCTTCCACGGTTTCATCGAAGAAATCCAACCTCTACATTTTTCAATGAGATTATATATACGTACACACTCAATATCTCAATATTCAAATACAAATTATTATGAAATGTTATTGTTCAAATAAGAAAAGTTAAATATCATCATGCAGTTCATGAATAAGACTTGTTCGAACAGTTTCATTCCTGTTTCTGGTGTGTCTGAACACAAGAACACCGGAGAAAACCTTTCCCAACATGCAACCACCGTCCGTCCATTCCGACCGGATTCGCAGGGTGAGCAGAACGAACGTAACAGGTATTTCGGCAATTGTTGTACACACAGAGTGAGCAAACGAGTTACGCAACGCAGGGTGGTTTGCTTGCTTTCATTATTATCGTTATTAGGATTTTTCACTCTTTCCAATTCCCATTGAATGCGGATTCCGGACACCCCTTTTTTTATTCTTGTTGCGCCGCTTACAAATACATTTTTTTTTTGTTGTCGTCGTCCTTTCTTTCTTTTTTTGCCGGTGCCCTTTTGTCTACCGGACCAGTATGCGAGCGTATCGGAGCGGAGGGCCAGATCTTGTTTGTTTTGAACTTTAATGCTGGTTTTACGACTCTCGGGTCCCATATAATTTTTATAATTGAAATTATTCTAATGAATACGCGCAAGGTGTACATGTCTCGTACCTCATACATACATATATAAGTACGTACGTACGTACACTTACACACAAGGTGTACGAGGATTTATTTCATTTTATTCGGATCGCATGCAAATCATCTCCGTGGATGCAAAGAGGAGGCCACAATAACCTGCTTTAAATACAATATAATGACGATAATAATAACAACGACAAGAAAACGATGAAAGAGGGAACAACAATGATGCCTTGTTGCATAGACAACGCGCGCATTATGGCGCTTTAAATATTCATATAAATTCGCTTTATATTCATTACGTTTTATTGCGACGCAATTGAATTTTGATGGTGCGCATACAATTAACGTTGTTTTCCACATGAAAACATTCTAATTACCGATGCAAATAAAACCATTGTCCAGAAATTTATTAATCATTTTTCTACTGTAATTAACGTTAAATTTCACTATAATTTATAAAATGTTTCTCAAATTTACAGTTTATTTTATAATGTTGATTAAATTATCTTTTAATTTAAACTCAAACTGAAAACAATCAATAATCATTTAAGTTACATTCGTAAAAATACTTTCTTTTAGAAAACTGAAACTTTAAGACATCACAACAGGCCATGAATTGTTTTACCTTGCACACAATAAAGTCTTTTGTTATTAATTAGCTTCGTTGTAATTCAATTATAATGTTTTATCTATATTAATAGATTCACAATGATTCAACTAAATTACAAATAAAGTGCAGAAATTGCTATAGGGAATGGGAGACATTAATATGTATACCTTCGATAGCTCAGTTGGTAGAGCGGTGGACTGTAGTTGATTTAAATCCTTAGGGAAGGATTGATAGATATCCATAGGTCACTGGTTCAAATCCGGTTCGAAGGATTCTTTTTTTTTTTTAATTTTCCAGCGAAAATTATTTTCGATTATGATATTTCGTATACGATTATAATCATTACAATGATTATTGTAGTTTGTTTGTTGTTGTTGTTGTTATGAAATGTGCGAGCGCGTTTACGGTCTGCTGCCTAAAGAACATGATTATAATAATAAATCCTGCAAGTCACTCGAATTGATAATTTATTAATGACATAAATAAATAAATATAGTATGCGCAATATATTTATATATACATATATATAGTGTATTATTAATGGAGACGATTTTGTTGTGCACTACATAGGTTAAGAAATTACTTAATAATAATAATCCAGTTTGCATCAAAGTATTCAAGTTTGTGGTGATTTGCTGATTGATTTTGATTTGAGGATCAAAACCGTATCGTTTTTATTAGTATTAACAGGACGTGCCATGAAGTTACACTTAAAAAAACTAAAAGCAATCAAGAAGTCAAATTATAAATCAATCATAACAGAACTTTTGTTTTAAATAAATCTAATTCCAAGAGATAAAACTCAAGTGCTTACGTTAAGTATTCTTTCAAGTGTTCCATTTATGATTATCTCTATTTACAATATTTAGTCTAAATAAACACGAAAACTTGCTTTGGACAATGTACATATAATAATTATTTTTTAATTAATATTTAATAATTGGAAAAGACAGAAAGTAGCAAAACGTTTCCTTCGAACCGGATTTGAACCAGTGACCTATGGATATCTATCAATCCTGCTTTAAGGATTTAAATCAACTACAGTCCACCGCTCTACCAACTGAGCTATCGAAGGTATATATATATATCTTAGACGAAAAACATTACATCAATTAACGAGAATTTTTAATTACGAAATCAACGTGTTTGTTCAAGTTATAATACCAGACTTAAGCGTAACGCAAAACAAGCAAAATACGTTTAATAGTTAGCAAGAGATGCGGTTTTATCGGATTCCAACACACACGCACGTATTCTTGGTGTTACCGAATTTGGCGCGCGAACATTATTACAAGCCAATAACAATAATAATAATAATATTGAAGTTTGTAATATTTTCTCGTCTTCCTTTTTGACAATTCGATCTTGGGGATTCTGTGGTGCGTGTGGTCCAGATAATAAGATTATATATGATTATTGCGTCAGGTGAATTGCTTAGATTGGTCAACCCCCCCACACGCACACTTGACAACTATAAAATTTAACTCCGATCATAATAAACTCGTTCTCTCTTCATCTCTTCCTTTACCTTCACTATACACAAACACACACACACACACACACCGTATTATGTTATATGCATGACCTGTCTTTCTCTCGCTGCATCTGTGTATATGTGTGTGTTTTATGTCTGGCAATTATTTAAATTAGATTACCTTTTTATTTCTATTAATTCATTCCACTCGTAAAGCGCAAGCAACCTTATGGGCCGCGATTTATCATAATACCGGGGTCTCTCTATTATTTCGGTAAATGTTAAACGCCGGCAATTATCTCTCCGCGGTGAATATAAATTGGGTTTTTATTTCTACGAACAGAAGACCAAAAAAAAAGAAAAGAAAAGAGTTCTGAAGTGAACTTATATTCACGTAACGCACGCACATACGAGCGACGCCTCTTCGCCTACTGCAGTAGACGCGGACAACAAAAGAAGCGATTTGTCACTGTGTACTGTAAATTATGCAGTCTCTCACTCCTCCACTATCGATCTCTTAATGCCAATGTCGATGTTGTTGATGATGAAAAAAGACTTTTGCAGAAATTGCAACATCTGTGCATTTCGTTTTGTTGTTTAGGGAAAAGCACTTGCAATTCATCATTG